CAAGACCGTGCTAAAAGGGCCCGAAGAGGTTACAAGGCGAGTGATACGCGTACGGCTGAGTATTGGGCCGATGATGAGAGCAAAAGGATTAAGCCCGGAGGAATGGGTGAATGGTGTAGGGCTTGCGCAAGAGACCGGCGCAAGCAATGCATGCGCGCTAAGGCCGAAGGAGCACGAGGGGTGGATGAAGGGTGGACAGCGTGCGCATGGGCGGCTGCAGTGGCGCAAACGCGAGAGTGGGTTGGAACGACACGCGGGTACGAGCGGGCTGCGATAACGAGAGTCACGCACAAGGCGCTGGTCGAGCGGAGATATGATGACGATGGCGCGGACGCGCTAAAGGAGTGGGTCGACGAGGTCGACAAGGTCGACAAGGTCGATGAGGTGAGCGTGCGCAACAACCGCGCGAGGCGCGACGTACGAAACACGTGGGAGCTGACAAGCGCGAGTCCTCGAAGGACTAGGTGTAGTGCACCGACTAAAGGGAATCCGCGCGACGTGGGGCGCAAGGCAGTAGACGCTGTGACGCGTGGGGCGACCAAGCCGAGACCTTGCAGGACAAGGACTAGCGCGCGACGGCTAGGGTTCGGGTGAAGTACCGCGCAAGCAAGAAAACCCACGATCCTTCTAGAAGGCCTAAGAGTCGATTTCCCTTAGTAGCTTAGGAATAATAGTTTGGTTAGGATTTGGAATAAAAGGCATGTGCCTAAGTAGTTTAGGTAAGTCTATATTTACTTTCCTTAGGACTTTATTTGTTTACTTGCATTAAGAGTTCTTCTTAGACTAGGATTAGATCTAATTGGTATCTATAAATACCACCCATATGTCATTCGAAAGATCTGATTAAGAAGTAATGGAAAATCGTTCGTGAGAACAAAACCGTGTGTTTAGAATTCGTGAGAGTTTTATCATACAAATCGAGTTGCCTAGGCTAAGACCCAAACCATCTCAAAATCGTGAGAAGATAAGGCTAATAACCGAGTCATCCACACCTATCGTCGAAGGACAAGCCGTGGCAAAGCTTGGATCGAGGCAATCGAGTTGGGAAAACACACGATCCTTCATCACAGGGCAGCAGCGCCCGCACAGGCGCAGGGCAGCACGCGTGCGCGGGCGCAGGCCTGCCAGGGGCAGCGCATGGGGACGACTTGGCCAGCAAGAAACCGAGGCTTCTAGGAGTCTTTTGAGTTGGAACTTCTCTAGATTATTCTTCCCTACTTGGAGTGCAAGTCAAGGCTTTCCAAGATCCCTTAGTTATTTGGTTTCCTTATTCCATTATGATTTCTAGATTGTTTAGGATACTTAATATTCTATTGCTTTATTAGAGTTATAGCTAGATTAGGAATAGATCTATTTGACGCCTATATAAAGGCCCTTCCTCTTGTTATTTTTTATGATTCAGAAATTAATAGAAAAACCGAACTTTTGTTCAAACACTTTGCCTTAGATTTCTTCTAGATTTCTTTTGCAATTTTATCGTTTCGAAAGGGCGCGGTTGTGTGAACCTACGAGGCACTTATCGGCGATTCAAGGCACGAGTTTGTGGCTTATCGGCAATCGGGACACGCGATCTTCATCATTGGTGCTTTCATTGAGAGTATCTAGATCGTGTGTCTTTTCCTACCCCATTCTCTTTCCTTTTCTTCTTTTTTATTTTCGTCCCCAATATTAAAAAAAAAAAAATCTTCAAGACGAGTCCAAGAAGTAAAGAACGGAAGCAAGAAAAGAAAGTCATGGCCAACAAGGAGATGAAGGACAAGATCGACAACCTAGACGTTCAAGTCCGAAGCATGAGCGAAGCCATAGACACCCTAGGCGAAGGGCTCGACACGATCAAAGCATCGGTTCGTGATATAATGGAGACCGTGAACCGGAGGTTCGACGAGATGGCGCACGGCTTCCAACATTATGCGCGGCCACCTCCACGACAGCCGAGGCGCGATCGACCCGAGGAGGAGGAACATCGGCCCGAAGAGCGCGAGCACGAGGAGGACTTCGATCAACGGTCGCAAGCGTCTAACGTACACGACCGCCCGAGGCTCGACAAACCGAGGCTCACGCTGTCCACCTTCACCGGCACCGACCCCGAGGCATGGCTCAACCGGGCCGTGCAATACTTTGAGCTCAACGAGACCGAGGCCAATGACCGCGTGCGATATGTGGCCTATTACCTAGATGGCGAGGCCAACATCTGGTGGCAATGGCTCACGAACGTCTACCGCAACCGGCATCGAATCATTAGGTGGGGCGATTTCGAGCGCGAGTTACTCACGCGTTTCGGGACTTTCGACTACCACAATTACGACGAGGCACTCTCGCGCGTACGCCAGACAGGCAGCTTGCGAGATTATTTGAAGGAATTCGAGCGATTAGCATGTCGCGTGCGAGGCTGGCCCGAGACCGCACTAGTTGGCGCATTCATAGGTGGCCTGAAGTCCGACCTAGCCGCTGAGGTGCCATTAGAGCAGCCCGAGACCATGCATGCGGCTATGGAGGTGGCCCGACGCCGCGAGGACCATCTAGCGGCCACGCGAAGGGGACGGGCGGACGCTCACTACCCCGACACGCGACGCAAGGGCCCAAGCAACGCTACCGCAGGCGCACAACCGGATGCGAGCAATATGATTCGGAGTGGCCGACCGCCCGATAGCTCTCGACCACCAATCCCGGAGGTCAAGAGGTTGTCGCTCGAGGAGATGAGGCGCCGACGTGAGAAGGGGATCTGTTTTAAATGCGAAGAAAAGTTCACACCGGGCCATCGATGCAAGCAGGTTTTTGTGATCGACGTCATCGACTCAGATGAGGAAGAGTCCGAGATTGAGGAGCACCTAGAGAGCAAGGTCGAGGTTGAGGTACTCGAGGAGAAAGCCGAGATCTCAATGCACGCAACGGCAGGCACCCGAGGACCGAGGACGATGCGGCTACCAGCATGTGTCAAGGACCGCCGTGTAGTCGTGCAAGTAGACAACGGATCGTCACACAACTTCATCAACGCCACGCTGTCTCAAAAGTTGAAGTTGCCAACGACGAAGGTAGAGCCACTCGAGGTTTGAGTAGCCAATGGCGAACGGCTAAGGTGCACCGAGTCTTATCACGGGGTGCCAATCAAATTTCAAGGAGTCACCATCAAAGCCGATCTCTATGCGCTACCCTTGGTTGGACCCGACGTTGTGCTAGGAGTGCAATGGCTCGAGGGGCTAGGTGAAGTGACCACCAATTACCAAACAGGGGTCATGAAGTTCGATGCGGGAGAGCACCGAGTCACATTAAAGGCAAGCAAGGACGGCAGGACCAAGGAGGTTGGTCTCAAGAGTATTGAGCAGAATTGGCATGGAGGTGACCAGATCTTCATCGTCGAGGAGGCAAACTCATACGCGGGCATGGCCGAGCAACAACAATCCGAGATACACGAGTTGGTTAGAGCGCCCGACCGCGTACTAGGCGAGTCTGACAAAGAAGAAGGTCAGGTCGACGAAAAGTGTGAGGAGCCTATCTTCCCGTTTGAATTCTCAAAATATTTTAACGATTTAAAGGCCATCGAGTACGTGAAGGAATCAACGGGTTATGAAGGACCGCCTATTTTTGATGTATACCCCGATGAACACTTTGTCGAGGTCGAAGGAATTTTGGTCGAGTCCAAAGAAGACGAAGTGGTCGGGGAGTTTTGGAAAGAGGATGAAGAAGGTGTGCTAGAGGTTTCAGTGGTTGAGGAAGAAGTTGCGCAAGTAGTAGTGGTCGAGGTGAATCTGGAGGAGAAGGTAACTTGGTTAATGGGTGATGACGAGTCCTTGAGGACAAGGACATTCTTAAAGGGGGCGGGAATGATGAAGATGTGGGGTCTGACCCCCAAAGATGAGAAGGGTCGAAGGCCGATGCTATCCAAGAAGGCCAAGCAAAGGGCTGAAACAAGGCTTGCATGGCCTAGGAGACGTGCACGAGCCCGTATACGAGGGTGCCGACGTGCGTCATGGCATAGCAGGTCGGCATTAGCATGGCCAAATGCGAGAAAGTCAAAGGCACAGCGGATCAACGTGCAAGTGGGTCCAACACGAGCATCGCACTATGGGTCAAGCACATGCAAGGTGCGAGATGCGAGGTACAAGGATACGCGTGGAAGCTCGGAAAGAGTCGTGGGTCAAGAGATAACGCGCGGCCAAGCGTGCAGAGGTGTACGCAGGATGGACGCGCGATCACTCGAGATGGTCCATGAAGGTCACGCACGGAGGTTTGCAAGAGCGTGTAAGGATATGGTCCCAAGACGGGCAACAATCAGGCGCAAGGAAGGGCGCGAACACACACATTGGCGTAAACGTGCACGAACGAGACCACGCCTCAAACGGAAGTGTCATCGGAGGTTTCGGAATGCTTATCAAAGGAGTGAAACCTAGTGGGGATGGCTAAAGCACCAGGTGGCTCGAAGAAATGGAAGGCGCGCGAGTCGAGTGCCCAACGGATGCAGCCCGCGCACATGAGCGCNACTGGCGGGCCGCGAATAGGGCGCGCGTGCGCGGGCACGCGCACAGGACGGGGCGCACGTGGTGATGAAGATCGTGTGTTCCGATTGTCGATAAGCCGCTCCCGCGCCTTAAATCGCACGATAATAGTCTCGCGAGCCACGTGAGCGCCTCTTGAAACGAATAAAATTGCAAAAGAAATCAAGAAGAAATCTAAGGCAAAGTGTTTGAACAAAAGTTCGGGTTTTGTATTAATATTCAATGATAATAAAATTGAATGAGTACATAGGCATTTATAAAAGAAACTAGATCTAGTCCTATACCAACTATAATTCTAATTTATGGAAAATATATCTAATCCTAAGATAACTAAATGTCTTGCATATCAAGATTTACCAAAATATAAAATACCTAACAAAACTAATTAACACACGTGAGTATTATACTTCACGGCTAATATAATCCTAACCTATCTAACATTACTAACCAAACTAATACTAACGCTAACTAATTAAATATATATGCTAACACTATAATTTCCTAACATCACACGTCACTAACTATATTAACTAATTCAACAATTCCTAACATCTCAATTGACGAAACTAACCTGCTAATTACGCTAACTAATAAATCTAACAATTCATTAATTAAACTAATTAATCTAAATAAGTATCTTCTAGAATCTTCATTCCTCGACTTGCACGGCTCGCCTCGTGTGCTTGCGCGTCAGGCCCGCGCACTCCTCCTCGTGCTCGGTCGCATGGGGTCCTCGGTCCGATTCCAACTCCGTCTAGGGAAGAGACCCTAACCTCCACGCGCACGTCGCCTTGGGTCCGTCCGCGTGCATCTCCCCTATGCCTTGAAGGATCATGCCCGAGCTCGCATCGCCTAGTCCTAATCTGCCAAGGCGTTTGCTCGAGCGCGCCTCCACTTTGTCTATTCCTACTAGGAATATGCTCCTGGCTATGTTGCCTGTTCCTTTAAAGATTACTCTCGTCACCGATCTATCACGTGCGCACCAGCACTCAGCTGCTTTTCCTAGTCCTGCGCGGTCTAGTATTCGCGCCTTGTCTATTCCTATGAGGATTAGGCTTGCGCCCTTCGCTTGTGCGATCATCTCGCGCGCTTCCCACGCGTCTTCTGCCTTGCGCGCCTAGTCCCGCGGATCGACCCTAGGCGGCGTGGTATTCCTCGCCCACCAAGGACTCGCACCCGTCAGCCCTTGCGCGTCTCGCACGTCGCTGACCTCATCCCGCGTGTGCCCCATCGCGCCACGCACGCGCTCCCGCATCTGCGCGTCGTGCCGCTCGCGAGTGGTCGACACGAGAGCCTTCCTCCGATGCTGGCTTGCGAACTGCGCCCCTTGTCCCAATCGTCCATCACTGGCTCGACCCCTGTGCCAGCCTCCTTTCGCTCACGACTTCGCCGCTCACATCTTTCGCGCCCTTTGCCTCTCGTGTGGTCGAACCGCACAGGAGCCCTCTTTCGCGAATCGCCCGACCTCTTCGCTAAGTTCTCGTCATCGTCTCACTGGACCGTCTCGCGCGTGCCCTTCTTTGCTCGACCTGGCCTTGCGCGGCTTGACCCTGCGTGCCTCATCACGCGGTCCACGCGTATCGCTCGCCTAAGTGTTGCGTGACATACTCGTGCACAGCCATCACGAGCCACCTTCGCATAGTCTCGGTATGTCGATCGCCTCAACCGCGTATGCACCGACTCGTGTCGCGCACGTCTCCTCTCAGCGCATCCGTGTCGCACTTTCCTACGCCATTGCGCTTGTCTGCACCCTCGTATACGGGCTCGTACACGTCTCTTAGGCCATGCATGCATTGTTTTGGCCCTTTGCCCGGCCTTCTCGGGTCGTCTCGTCCCACGACCGTGTGCATCCTCGGGCCTCGAAACCCACATTCTCATCATTCTCGCCCCCTTAAAGTTTGTCCTTGTCCTCAAGGACTCATCAAGTATCTCCATTCGGGGCTCGTCATCCTCCTCGATCACATCAACCTCTTCTTCCGTTTTCTCGACTCCATCGTCCCCGGCTATCTTGGCCACGTCCGAAACCTCCTCGAGCCTTGGAGCTTCGACCACCTCGGCTTCTTCAACCTCGACCTCGACGAAGTATTCATCGGGGTATACATCGTAGATAGGCGGTTCATCAAAACCCGTCGCGGCTTGTTCGTCTGTAACTTCTAGGTGGTCCGAAAAATCGAACAGATAGTCGAGCTCCTGGCACCGTTCCTCAATCACTTGATCCTCCCCGACTACTTTCCCAAGCATAGATGTCTCGAGCGTGTTGGATTTTACTAGATCGTGCTCGGACGATTCACAGGACTCCTCTTCGGCCTCTTTCCACAACTCCTCGACCACTATGTGCTTTTCATCATCGAGGTAAACGTCGTAAATAGGCAGGCCTAAGTAGTAGATCGTAACTCCCTCATCCATGAACACGTCGTCGAACGAAGGTGGGTCCTCGAACTCGATTCGCTCGACCATGAACTCGGTGACCTCGTCAAAAAGCCCCAAAAATTCAAACGGGCATGCGAACTCCTCGTAGTCGGTCAGTCCTCGCTCGATCATGCACTCGTCATCTTTGTCCGAATGGATGTGTTCGTCTTTGGCCGCCTCTTCGTCATCAAAGTATCCCAGAAATTCAAACGAGAAAGTAGGCTCTTCGTTGAAATATCTCGGAAACTCCATCAGAAAAACGGGCTCCCCTTGCTCGATCTCAGCTTGCTCGAGCTCTCCTTTGGACCGATCGTACCCGTAAGGTGATGGTCGAGCTTCACGCGGGTGTGGTCGATCATCGTGCGGTGGTGGTCGAGAATCGTGCAGGGTTGGTCGATGTGCAACCCTTAAGCACTCGTCGAGCCGACGGCCCTTGATTTCCTTCTCTTGTTCGTACTCGACGTGGCACTGCTCGTGCTCCTCGGGTCGTTCGCGCCCGTGCGGCCGCGCCTGCTGGTGTTGAAAGTTGCGCGCCATCTCGTCGAACCTCCGGTTCATGATCTCTATTAAATCCCGCACCGATGCGTTGGTGGTGTCGAACCCTTCGCCTAGGTTGTTCATGGCCTCGCTCATGCTTCGGAATTGCACGTTCAAGTTCTCGAGTTTGTCCTTCATCTCCTTGTTGGCCATGTCTTTCCTTTCTTGCCTTCGCTCTTTATTTCATGGACTCATTTTGAAGATATATTTTTTTTTCTCTTTTTTTTTTATGCAATTAATCTCGCGAACAAATACCAACTAAGACAAAAAACTCCTACTCCTAAACAATTACTCACGTAACAAATCAAAGAAAAATTCCCCCAGCCAAAACACTCAATACTCACGCCGACTAGCTATCTCAATAAAATAAAACTCTCAATCAAATCTAATTTCCTATCCTAAGAACTAATCCCAACTAATCTCGATCCTAACCCCAATTAAGGTTCCCAATCCACGGACTCAAGCAATCCTTCTCACCAAAATTACAAAAATCCTTACTGCCACTCTTCTCGTAAAACAACTCCCAACTCCCAACAAATTCCCCTCATAAGGAAATTTCCCAAAAAACAAATCCCCAACAGAATTACACCCTCCTGGCCAAATTAATTTGACACTTTTCTAAACCCAAAGGAAAAGAGACTAAACAAGTTTACTCTCCAAAAACAATAGACCCAACCCCAGATCACAGAAATAAAATTCCCACAACTCCTGATTTTTCACGCCAATTCGTTTTTTTTTTCAAACAAACGAAAATAAATAATAATAAAACAAAGAATGGGGAAGAAAAAAAACACACGATCTAACACCTCTCAATGAAAGCACCAATGATGAAGATCGTGTGTTCCGATTGTCGATAAGCCGCTCCCGCGCCTTAAATCGCACGATAATTGTCTCGCGAGCCACGTGAGCGCCTCTTGAAACGAATAAAATTGCAAAAGAAATCAAGCTCCCGCGCCTTAAATCGCACGATAATTGTCTCGCGAGCCACGTGAGCGCCTCTTGAAACGAATAAAATTGCAAAAGAAATCAAGAAGAAATCTAAGGCAAAGTGTTTGAACAAAAGTTTGGGTTTTGTATTAATATTCAATGATAATAAAATTGAATGAGTACATAGGGCATTTATAAGAGAAACTAGATCTAGTCCTATACCAACTATAATTTTAATCTATGAAAAATATATTTAATCCTAAGGTAACTAAATGTCTTGCATATCAAGAGTTACCAAAATATAAAATACCTAACAAAACTAATTAACACACGTGAGTATTATACCTCACGGCTAATATAATCCTAACCTATCTAACATTACTAACCAAACTAATACTAACGCTAACTAATTAAATATATATGCCAACACTATAATTTCCTAACATCACACGCCACTAACTATATTAACTAATTCAACAATTCCTAACATCTCAATTGCCGAAACTAACCTGCTAATTACGCTAACTAATAAATCTAACAATTAATTAATTAAACTAATTAATCTAAATAAGTATCTTCTAGAATCTTCATTCCTCGGCTCGCACGGCTCGCCTCGTGTGCTTGCACGTCACGCCCGCGCACTCCTCCTCGTGCTCGGTCGCGTGGGGCCCTCGGTGCGATTCCAACTCTGTCTAGGGAAGAGACCCTAACCTCCACGCGCACGTCGCCTTGGGTCCGTCCGGCGTGCGTCTCCCCTATGCCTTGAAGGATCATGCCCGAGCTCGCATCGCCTATCCTAATCTGCCAAGGCGTTTGCTCGAGCGCGCCTCCACTTTGCCTATTCCTACTAGGAATATGCTCCTGGCTATGTTGTCTGTTCCTTTAAGGATTACTCTCGTCACCGATCTATCACGTGCGCACCAGCACTCAGCTGCTTTTCCTAGTTGTAACACCCCGCTTATCAGAGTAAATTTTTCGCAACTTTTACTTCGAAAATACTCATATCTCTTTCGAAATCTTTTGCGACTAGTTCGGGATGCTACTCAACCTTACATCTTGAAAATCCATTTATCTTTAAACTCTTGTCTAATAACTCTTTTAGACATAATTAAATAGATTTTCTTTAAACTTGCATTTAACCATATTCATACTTCTCTAAATGTTAAAAACTTCAAATCATAACTTCATTTAAAATGCAAGTTCAATCATCATATTGCGTAGCGGATAAATAAATCAAAGTATACTTTTAGAACGTAGTTAATTATACAGACTGGTTTAAATGTCCGTATCAAAGCTTGTCTTCATCTGAATCCACGATCCACACCAACACTGCTCCACTCACACCTCCTCTTCAACCTGTTACCTGAAACTAAAACTCATGGGGGTGAGTAACGATAAAGATCATCATATACCGATATCTGATCGGTAACCAGAAATCTATTCTGGTACATAAACTCAAACTTTTCTCTTTCTCTTCTTGATTAAGTACATGTGCACACTCTAATGGATATTTCTCAAGGCAACTCAACGGCCTCCATTAAAACTTAGGAAATACTCGTAAGGCAACTCAGCGGCCTTCTTCCCAAGCGTATAATCAATACTTAGGATATACTCCGAGACAACTCATGGTCTCCTCATCCCATCTCTATCGATATCGTACTCAATGTGATACCCGTTCAGGGTCCCCACCTTTTTGTCTTTGAAATCATTTGTAAATCGATAAGTGCTGTGCTGTAACGAAATCTGCAAGTTACATCAAATATAAACAAATATACTAAGTACTATGCTCATATACTCAATAAGATTTTAGGATTCTTAACTCATCCAATCTTATAGAAATTCATCAACATGCTCTTTCTCAAGTTAACTTTTCTTCAAGTTCAATTACTTAACCTTATAAATCATGTCTTCATAAACATCAATATGATATTAAACTTATCATATTTTAACTCAAATGTGAAAATAACTATACTTCACATTTATACTTGATTAAATATTTAAACATCATCATCATCAAGATATATAAATTCATCTTGATCTTTAACTCAATCAAGTACTTAATCCATCATACATCTCATCTCTTAATTTATCACTTTTCACTTAAATAACTCAAAAGTGAAATAAACTCAATTATAATCATCTTCCAAATCATCACTTTTAATCATAATATTAATATGTCATACTTAATACAATTTTTATAAAATTGTATACTCAACATATTAAATCAAACTTCATCAATTTTCTCATCACTCATATGAGAATAGATCATAAAAATCTCATTTTAACATCTTGATCATCTCATGAATATTCTTGCATATATATACTCATCTTCACATATATGCCATCTCATATTCATAACTCATTCATTTCTCATCTTTAAATTATGAAATTTAACAGTCATAATCTCAACTTCTAAATAGACATGTCATCAAAATTTCATAATTTAATCATTCATATTCATCAAGTTATGAGAATTTAAAGTCATAGTGAACATAAACTTCATCTTACATGTTCATCTTCAAAAATTCATAACTTAAGTTATACTATGCCAAATCACTAAATTCTTGATCTCATGTACTCCTCTTTTACACAAGAATTATTCATTTAAATCATACTTTTCCAGCATATTCATATCTTCATGAAAATCTCATGCAAATCAACATCTCATTTCATTAAGCACATATATCACATAATTGATCTTTAACATCTTTAACTCATTTTATCAATTATAAACTCCAACTTCTACATCATGATATACATACTCATAAACATGTAAACTTATCATAAAAGCATGAACTCAAATATGAAACATTAAGATAAGTAAATTACCTCCTTCTAGGTGAAGTTAAAAACTTGATTCTTCACTCTAATGTCCTTACTTCTCCAAAGATTACTCCTTCTCACTCTCTCTCACAAACTCATATGACTTTAGTAATTATTTTGGTGTAAAAACTCTGAGGTTTAAGCCTCTATTTATAGGCACAAATTGGAGAAACATCCAAATAGAGTGATTAAATGATCATAATATAAAATTTAACTTATAAACTTAAATAATCTTTAAAATATCTTATGATTTACTTATTCATCCATCCAAAGCATATTTAAACATCAAAAATGGCCTTTGGTTAAAGTCACAATCGAATTCTCAATAATCCAATTGGACTGTCGGCAACACGACTCGTGTGGGGGAGTCACACGACTCGTGTGGCCTCACACGACTCGTGTGCCTTGCCACACGACTCGTGTGGCTTGCCGACACTTTTGCTCTTAATCATTCATCTTCTCACACGACTCGTGTACTATATCACACGACTCGTGTAGCTTCACACGACTCGTGTGGCTCATCACACGACTCGTGTCAAAATCCCGAGGCTAACTTTCATCACGTCTCCATCCCACACGACTCGTGTGCCTCTCCACACGACTCGTGTGGCTTCACACGACTCGTGTGTCTCTTCACACGACTCGTGTGGCTTGTTCCTTGAAAATTCTTAATTTCGGTCCGATAACTTACTATCTTGGACTCGAAATCACTTATTTCTTGGAACAATAACTCATAATAACTGAGATAACTGAAAGGGATATTACAATCTACCCCCCTTAAAACTATTTCCGTCCTCGGAAATATAAAAACAAACATACCTCAAAACGCAAACTCAGGAAAACGAGCTCTAATATCAGCTTCCCTCTCCCAAGTGGCATTTGACTCGCCGTGGCGATTCCATCTAATACGCACAAGGGGAATATCTCGCTTCCTGAGCCGACGAACCTTCCGGTCCAAAACTGCTATCGGCTGCTCCTCGTAAGTTAAATCAGACTGAATCTGAATCTCATACTCTGAATCGCACACGTAAACACGTAACATCGATACGTGAAAAACATTATGCACACTTGATTGATATTAAATACTTATCTAAATACTTATGCGATACATTCCTTCGGGTGCGGAACCTCTATATACGTTGTACCATAATATCGATGTCACTTGTATACTCAAACAAGTCACATCTTCATCATATACTCATAACTCACTATACTCAACTTGTTTCTCTGCCGAGAAACCTCATACTCAATATCACTATTGATATCGTCTAACTTCAACTTCTCCGACTTAATTATAGTCGAGAATTTCGTTGAAATTACTGATCTAATAACTTGACCATCCTCTTTTGGTCACGTCATAATTCCAACCTCTCAGGTAACTTCATTTACCTTTATTACTGCATCTGCATCGCAACATCTCACTTGCCGTTATCTCACATCTGATTGCCAACATCTCACATCTGATTGCCTCACATTAAATGCATATCAACTTCAATGCTATCTTCGTCTCATCAACAATTATCATTATTGTTGACATATCACATCCTCTCTCTGCCGCATTAATTGCCTTCTGATTGTGTATTCTGTCGTTAGGTATTATTTAATCATACCTTGCAACTTGTCACATACTTATCTCTTCTTTATAACTCCTTCATTAATCCTTCCATCTTCCTCAACGATGGTCCAATTCATCAATGGATTTAGCATTGCTAAAAATCAGAAAATTTTATTCCTTTCTTCCTCTTAATATCATAAAAAGAATTTATCGAGCTCGAGTAGAAAGATTAAGAATACTCATGCTCAATAATATCCCAAATGATATAAGATGGTTAATCGAAGCAAAGGTCCGTGTCTCTGGCGAATATCCTCATGCGTACAAGTATCTGTCAGGTATGGGTAGAAGCTCTTTTGCTAAGAAACGTAGAGCAAAAAGAATAGGTGGCTGCCATAAATGTGCTCGCTTGAACTGCGATACTTGCTGTACTTCTTTGGGCTTTGTCTCAAATAATCGAGAAGATAAAATAACCTTCATCAAGAATGGCTGATCATACTCTTCAGCAGATTCTTGATACACATTCTAGTGGATATGTGCATCGAGAACTGATGTCTTTATGGTTTCTGTTCAAACATGAAGAAAAACTCTATAATCTGGAAAATATTATTTCCAATGATCATGTTTGTCAACACTGTTCGTGATAGTACAGATGTACTGTGTATAAATCTTATCACTTCTGCCAGAGTCATTAAAGACTCAACTACTTTCTTGTCTGGACTTCTCTTCTTTAAAAGGCAAATCTATCTTCTTAGCCAATTATTTCTCACAATAAATGGCTACTGTCGAGTCTTCTCAAGGCTCCAAACTTCTTCAGCCCCTCCGAACTGTGTGTATTCTTGGGGGTTCTAAATTTGTAAATGTTCCTCACAACATTTATGTTGTAAGCCAACTGGTGAAAGAATTGGGAAAACATAACATCAACATTCTCTATGGAGGAACTAGTATTTATTTCTTTAACAACCTCTTAATGGCTGCTAAATGCTTTGACATCCAGGTGAGAAGTATTCTTCCTTTTTATCTCACTTCATCAAAGGTTGTCAAAGATTCTGCTACTTTGATGATAACTCTCTCAATTTATGACTGCTTGATGTCAATGATATCTGGTTGCGATGCTTTCATCGTTCTTCCTGGTGGATATGCAACTTTA